TTCATGATTTTCAAATTCTTGCCAGTATCCTTGTTACTTGTCCTCTCACATCTGTTCCCTGTGAGCGTGGTTTTTCGTTACAAAATAGGCATCATAATGCTGCCACGAGTAGAAGAACTACTGACAGTGTTGAACATAGAATGATAATTGAGTATGCATCCAAGCAACCAGGATACAATCAGGATGAGGTTGTCAGATTAGCAGCTATAAAATTTCATGAAGACCGTGTGTAAATTTGTCTAAAAATGAGAATTGCAAAATAAATAAATTCTGTGAAATCTTGTGTATAATCTTTATTCTGTGCTACAACAACCACTCCCAGTGCAGATGAATAATACTGGCCCTCCTAGAAATACCCCCAATTTTTGATGTAGAGGGTACACGTGTACCCCCAAAATTTGTGTTATACCTCCAGTTTTCTGTATAGAGGGTACATATACCCTCAGTTAAAAAAGACAGTGGGAATGCTGAGATCATTTTATCTGTAGTCGCTGTTTTAAAACAGACACCCCAAATCATATCATAATAACAGTCAGACACTGTCAAGTATAAAGTAAGTACTAGTTAACAGTCCTGTACATAGACAATACAAGCCAGTAAGCGGGTTGGCGATTGCTCTGCTGAAAAAACAAGCAACATGTTTTTGGCTGTTTCCATGGTAAGACATGAACGTGAAGCCAACGTCAGGTTATAACTAAATGGGTCCTGTATACGAAGTCACTTAGTTTATTACTAGGACGTATTCTGCTGTTACATTTATTATTTCCAATCGTTTTGCGATAATATTTTCTAGAATGAAGGCAGCATTTACAGTTCATTCAAAGTTCAAAGTTGTGTTGGGATTATGTTGATACAGTGAAACAATGTCGGCGCCAGTTATATCTTACCAGTGTGCAAAGTAGCCAAAATAAAAAGCAAGATCATTTGAACACTGCTATTACAAAACTGGTAGGAGGTAATAAATTTGGGACGAAAGTATTAAAAAATCATTTTTTTAGATATGGCAGTGGTGGGCCAGGATTTTTTTTCCAATTAGTGACGGTAAAACCTACCTGTCAAGTATGAACAAAATCAGCCGAGCCAAAAAAAATCACCTAGGAGTTGCTTATGGAAAGTTACCCCAACTTTGAGGTAAATTTTCCTGTAGTGAAAATGTACATAACAAAATAAAACAGTAAATTTTTGCCCACACTCAAGCTGAGTAGAATGATATATGTCCATACTTTTTAATCCTAGAATTGTAGGGTAAGATATATTTGGTGCGAAGGTATTTAAAAAAAAAAATCATTTTTTTGGGTTGTTGCTATGGCAACGGTGGGCGAAAATGTTTTCACAGATTTTTCCTAATAGCTAGGGTGAAGGAGTGACCTACCTGCCAAGTTTGAGGGAAATACATGAAAACACTGGAAATCACACAGACACACAAAGCCACAAAAGTGATTATAAGGGCAATTCTAGCAGAGTGGATTGCCAATATGTTTAGATATTTAGAGTACTAACAAATTTCCACTTCCGGTTCAGTTAGACCATGGAGCCTGGAAGTTTATACCTTCATGGTTAGACTTAAAACACACCACAAATATTCACTTTTGAGATATAATTTTTGTATGTGTTGGTTCTTGGATATTTCAGCCTTGTCCTTCTGTACTTCATTTAGTAATTTGGACTTCCCAGATTGCGTAAAACTGGAGAATTTCACGATTTCGACATCGAAAATGCCTTGGCTTCATTGTTTGCAGAGGAACGGCCGCTTAGGTACGTGCTCTGTAACTTGCAGCACATGAACCTAAAATAAAAACGTCAGGTAATCAAATTCACAAGAAGTTGACTATCCCTGATACGGGTATTGCTAAATCGCCAGCTGTGGACTTTATCAGGATTTCCATATGAAGTTACACATCATTCTAGCAAGGAAAAATATTGATTACTTTTGTGCAGGTTATATGATAAAATAATGAATATTTAATTTTTGTTAGTGTATCTTTAATTTTATTTATTAAAATATATCTAATTAAGGTAGGAATTGCCAAGCCAATTTATAAAATTATAAACGTTAACGTAAGTAACACTGACCGTGAAATACTGCCTTGAGAAGTGTTACTGACGGAATATTTTATATTGCAATTTCTTACAATTTTAATTAGTTGTATTGCAATGCATTAGTAAGATTGTAAATATATATTATATACATTTCTTTATTTCATTGTTGAGACTGAGTTATATATTTGTTACGTACTATAATTTATCTATATTGGAAAACAGTTATGGGGATTATTAATTTTAATAAACAATATTCAACTATCCTTTGCAACACCAATAAGATCATAATGATAATGTTTCTTGGTCTTTGAAGTTATGGGCTTCTAAAGATGGTATTCCCAGAATAGCGCAAGTTGTTAAAGAAACATAAAATTTTAATTCTCAACAACGATGAAAGGTTCTATTACTGCGACAAAGCCCTACTCCCTGCGAGACCCACCCAATACAAAACCCACTCACTGTGAAAGCCACTTACCGCGAAGCTATGAGTATCATGATAAAATAAACTACTGTAGATACCTGTTGTTTATTTTAGTGACACAGCAGTGCTGTAACAATTTCTAACAAGTTGAAACATTGTTCATTTTGTTTTTTCTTTAGTAGAGCCAGACAGTGGCCGGCAGAATGTCTTTTAAAACATGAGTCACTGAAATCGACATAGTCTGGCCAGTTATTGAAATCAACAATATATTGTGGTATCAGAAAATGAAAAGACACTATATAAAAACACATGAAACAAACATTAAAGAAGGTGATAGTTGTTGACCCATTACCCATCAGCCCTCCACCACTTCACACCATGGTGATTACATCTGGCTGAGTTTGACTGCGTTCCTTGAGGCCACTTGTGTTGGGTGCCAACAAGATGGCAATGAAAAGGAACACCAACACGTAGACAGAGCTATAGCCCGAGTCATTATACTGGCAGACAAGTGATAGTAAAATAAATGCAGCTAACCATAGATATATCGTCAATAACAGTACCCTAGCTAATTTAATAATTTATTATGGTACATGTAAGAATTTTATAGGGCCCTCTCACCCATAACTCTAATACTAACCCTCCTCCTCCAGTGCTCTCCCTCCAATTTTGATTGTACATGCCCCTTTTATGAACATGTTATCTGGAGGAGCATATACAATTACATTAGGGGGGCTGGAGTGTTAGGGTGATTCTGCATTCACAAGACTTCACCCAACAGATATCAAACATTCTCAAATCATTATAAATCATTATGTAGGATATTTATGGGATACAAAATTACTCGTGTGAAGCGCTGCACTTTGTTTTGTATCGTCATTGGTGCTCAGTGGAAAAACTGCACCATGTTCACAGTTTTAAATGCTGTCTTCTTTCTTATAATTAAAACACGATTATGTTTCTTCTCACAGGCTATCAGATTATGACGTGTGTGCACGAGAAGCACAGGAAATAATTGAGAAGATAAATGAAAGAAACAGATTGTTGCGGACTGGGTCAAGTCACTCTAAAGTCAGTACGGATTTTTGATCTTTATTGATAATGATTCTCGCTTTAAAAACTATAAGTTGATACAAAAGGCAACACCAGCTGAGAGCCCACTTGAACTCTACTGTATTTGTCTATCTATAGGAGTATCAGGAAGGTTGCAGGGCTTGATAGAAATCATGGTGGTGATTGCCTGGAAGTCTCATTTCAAAGCAGCTTTGATATTCTTTTGAATAGTCGTACATTTAATTTTTAGAAATTTTGAAATTGCATTTTTCCCGGAATATTCAAGTTTATTGTGAAATAATTGTAGAATAGTGATATTACACGAATGCATATGTGGCAGAGATAGGCTAAACATGAACATTGCGCAGACTGTTTATTTTATACCTAAATTGAAAAATTGTTTTCATGATAGGATTATTTCAGCTATGATTGTCTTCTGAATTGATGTAAAGTTAGTAAAAAATGCTAAAAATATTTCTATTCATTCAAGTCTGTGACCAGCTTTTGGCAAGGTAACCTGCATACACCTGAAAGAACCCACCGGTTTCCCTCAGATTTAATCAGTGTACAAAGATCACATATGCACATTATATGCCATTGATTCAATGTTAAACGTTGAAATAATTTGTTTTAGATACTGTAATTATTATGTCTTTGGCTTGGGCATAATATGTAATATCACTGACAATGACTTATGAAAGTAAGAAACATAATCAAAAGGTAAAATATTTTTGAGTTTTATTCACATTAATGTCTTTCTTATTTTCAGATTTCAGGAGAAATACGCTTAGCCCTTCGACAGTTTTCAAGATATCTGAACAATTTGAAACAGGATCTCATGAGAGCATCTACGTCTTACCATCTGTATCCTTTTTTTAATTGTCTAGACAGAGTATGATACATGTAATTATATAATTATGACTAGATCTTTGCACAGATTGTGTTAGTCGAGTGAGATTACTTCTACCTTATACTTGTGAACCTTGTTTTCTAAACCTATTAAAATAATTGTAGATACCAGTCATCAGCTGTCATTCAAATTCAAATATTCAATAGTGATTAGCTTAAGAGCTCAACATCGCATATGCCCATAATGCGTGCATATACCTTCACGAGACATAGCAACTGCAACCTCCCACTTATTCAAAGTTAAGCTTCTGCAGTTTGATGATGTTGAACTAACTCATTAAGGGAGGTGATCAAAATCAAACCATCTCGGTTTCCGGCCCGGTATCCGCGGAGCTCTGAGGAGCTACTTCGTCTGCCGAGGTCTCCCTGGAGCTCTGCGTGATATACAGAATTCATGAGCTGAAAGTTCATTGCAGTGTCTCGTTTTCGCCAGCAGACTCAAACAAATTGGAAACCCATTGCTTAATTCCAAAAGAATTTCAATTGCTGTAT